ACATTGTCACTCTGTTGTGAAAGGTTAACATTCGATAATGGATTATGTTTATTGAGGTGAAATCATCGCTCGATACAATATCTTTTTTTAGGCGATGAATTCGGGATATCCCATGCTTGTTTTTACGTCACTGAATTCGGATACATCAAAGCTGTCTCCGCTTATACAGAGTATTTCAAATTATTTGAATTTACAAAAAATTGTAGGTGTGACTGTCCCAAAGAGAGATCGAATAGATCATTTCAACATACTTCGATAATATTTTAGGAACAAGGAAAAATGATTTTAGCTCAAAATAACACGTACCTCTTTTTGTAACATTCTTAACTTTGACATTTGATAAATACAATCGTTACACATAGATACAGGTTTTGTGTTAATATTTGCCTTGGAAGAAATAAATACATCCTAGTGAGATGTTAAAACCGCTCTTCAAACCATCGTGACGTATCAAGAAAGGTTTCTATTTAAGATTGTCTTGGGTCTTGGGTCTCATCCATTCTACTGATGATGAGAAAATGATACTCAGCCACTAATTACATATTGGTTGTATAAAAAGTATACAGGGTTACTGGTAATTCGCAGTATTCCTTTTAGGATGTGATATTGGACCTAAAATACAATAAATGCCACCCTATATAGGTATAACAGTTCGCGAGATTTCAGTAGTCATCCGAAATTGGATATTTGAGTCTAAAGATTGATTTAATACTTATATCTTTTTTAAATTTATTGAATGAAACTTCATCACTCTGTATCTCGTTAGGACTCTTTGGACTCATGTTTATAGAAACTCTTTTTCTTATTTTTGGATTTTCTGCCCTAGAAATATTGGTACGTCTTTCGAATAATTGATAATTTGAATAATTATTTCAATTGAGTATATCCATTTTCAAAAATCACGCTCAATTCAAGCACCTTAGTTACGAATAGAGGTCTGCATTCACTTTCTAGTCCCTGCTTTTGTCACGTGGTAAAAGAGGCTTTTAGTTGTTTTGCCTTAATCACTATACGCTAGAGAAATGCTCTAATAGAAGTTCTCTGAAATTGGATAGCTACCCGAGTTATGTATTTCCGATATGTAGCATCCTAATAGCCTCAAAGACAAAGAAATTTCGGGTATTGGGAAAGCGATATTAACATCATCAGTGTACTTCAACAGTGACTCTAAAAAACCATAAATTAAAATAGCACCGTATCCAGATCATTGATCACTCAACATGTTTCATGTCTGTGTAACTGTTAGAAACACGTGGCAAATACAGTTACTAGAGAACTCGTTATACTATAACAAGTTCTCTAGTACATAGTAAAAAAGGTAAAACAACCTTTTCATAGAGGTGACAAATCGTCCCCCAAAACACGAAGTGTCGTAACTGACATTTCTGTAATTTTACAGGAGAGCTAAAACAAGAAAAAGGGATCTCTTTGAGAATCTGGATGTCATACAATAAAAAGTGTATCACAAAACGTTTTGAACCTGTTATACTCAAATCTACCAGTTTTCAAATGCAGCTAGCAAAATGATTGTATCAAAGATATCCCCTGCTTTTAAAAATTGCATGAGAAATGCGGCTATGGGCAGAATCCCCTTCATTTTGTCCATGGTTTTTTTATTATTATTATTATTAAACAACAAATTTGAGTTGAGTACAAGTACTATAAACTCAAACACATAATAGATAATAGTGTACAGACAAAAGAAATATAACAATTTAACAATCGTAGCACTTCTGAAGTAGACATATACAGAATGGGATATGTTAAGCACTGCGGTGTCTATCATAATTGTTTTTGAAACTGTTGACGGATGCTGAGTTCACTACATAAGATGGAAGACTGTTCCATGCATCGAAGACACGGTTTGAGATAAAGCGCTAACGAGTATAGGTTCTAAAGGCTTCCTTCTGCAATTTGAAGTTATGGCCTCTGAGATTGTCCGTTGCCAGACGAAACAGATGCGACATGTCCACACCAAACAAATTATTCAGTGCTCTGAAAGTGATGATGAGATCTGCTCGCATTCTTCTATCAGCAAAAGCAGGCAGGTTATATAACGCGAGGCAGTCGTCATAACTCGGCTTACGTGTACCATAAGGCATACGTGTAGCACGACGCTGAACAGCCTCAAATAAGCTGCTATCGCGAACAAGGTTTGAATCCCATACCGGAGCAGCAAACTCCAGTAGGGGTAAATACGAAAGTTGTGTACAAGGAGGAGGTGCTAACGGTGCAACCGCTAAATGATCTTTCCATCATATGTATATAGCAGCTGCTTTGCCTTAGAGGTTATGTTCTGAATGTGCTCCGACCAGGTGAGCCGGTCATTAACTGTTAGACCAAGATCTGTTTGAAGAAAAACAGTCTCTAAGGTATGTTTGCCAATGTTATATGTTAAGTTAGGATTATCCTTTCACAGGTGGAGAACGTAGCATTTCGAGAGATTTAAAGGCAGGAGCCAAAGTTCAGACCACTTTCTGATCAGCTTGAGGTCTTCTTGAAGCACAGATGGGTTCATGGCAGTGTTATAGACTTTAGTATCATCTGCATAGATGGAACACATAGAAGAAAGTCGGGTGGGAAGGTCGCTTGTATAAAGAAGAAAAAGTATTGGCCCTAGCACATATCCTTATGGAACTCCACTAGTAACACGATGGCTAGAAGAATAGGCGTCTCCGACACGGACGGAGAAAGATCTATCTAACATGTAATAGAGAGTCTTCAAGCTATCTCCATCAGCGATGGAAGGGTATTCAAAACATACAGGAGCATTGCGACAACTATAGTGTTTTTACTCTGGCTATAGCACCCATCAGAAAATAAAACAACTTTTGTTTTATCCTGCCTGGAATATTCCTCTAAAATTTTAAAAAGGCAGGTCGCTATCTCCGAGGGTCCTCTCTTACCTGTTGTTTCATGCCACATAAAGCAATAACAATCTTTACTAGCTAAATCATATAAAGTTCAGCAGTACAGCATCGCGGTAGAAGGATTAGGAGACCAGAAGATCAGTGATGTCGTATTTGCAAATAAACTTAGATACCACAGTTCGTGACTTTCTTTGAATGCGCTAAGGCAGATACGTTGAAATCAAATATTAAAATTACTTAACGTTAGTTGAAAATTCAGATACGACACCTTGTGAGAAGGAAGTGGCGACTTTATAATGCTCATACCTGGCCTAACTCAAATTTGCAAAAAATGTCAGATATGACACTTCGTGTTTTGGGGGACGAAATGCAGGAAACAAAAAGTGATTGCAGGCACATTCGCGACTAAGGCCTGATTTTACTTGAAAACACCAAACTTTAATATCAGGATTAAGTCACGCATCTACAGTATGTGCTTCATTTTTAACGCTATATCAGATAATTGTGACATTCATCACGATAAAGTCAAAGATATGCTGGATAAATTCCGTGAAATTATTTAATTTATAACTTTTAAGGCATGTAGAAATGTACTAATTTGTTTCCTCAATTTTTCAAGAAGTTAGAAATGCTGCAGTCTAACGCTTTGCTTCAATTACACTGTCCTACAGGTTGTTCGAAAAATAGACGGGGATATTTTATATCGTGTTTCATAGTTGAAAAATATGAAAAAAGTTTTTATAAACAATATATAAGATAATAAATTTAAAAATATATATTAATATCTTAAAAAATATTTACTGGATTCTGTTGCAATTTGACAGTACTATTTGTTGTAGTAAGAGGCTAATTCAGCCCGAAATAGATTATTATTATCAGGTCCAGTGGCGTCCCCGAGGCACCTTAACGAATATTACTTTCAAACAATTGTACGCCACTGCCTTTTTTGTAACTTTGATATTTGCTGTTTGATTAAGCATCTAAAAATGCAACTTTTTTGCCTTTTATATATTTTTCGTATCTCATTTCGTTTTCGGAAAAAACAATAAAAACCATTTTATTGCATGCCACTGGACAAAATTGGTTTATTAATTTTCGCTAACAAGCTAAATCAAGTGATTTATGGCGTATTTCTTGATTTGATTAGGGAATTAGGGGGCCATCTTACACAAACCGTATAGTTTGACAGACATTTTATAAGAAATCGACCATGTTCAGTAGATCCATTACTTCAAAGACGCCTTCTTATTAGTTGAATTTGTGTTCCACGCGCTTTTTTGCGCCCGGCTTAGTAAAATCGGCCAAGATTTTCCAAAAATCCGTTCAATTATTAGATCTAAATCGGTTTTTTTGTATTAGCATAATTTAAGTGTAAACTACAAAAATCACTTATATAATTTTTTTATTCTTTAGACTTTCAGATGATAATAAAAAATCACAAAAATTTAAAATCCCGAGCACTATTGATTTTAAGCCCATACATATACAGCGTGAAAATCTAGGTCCCGTATCATGCCCTGGGAGGGATACGGCGAATAACCAGTAACCCTGTATAAACTGCACAAAATGTCTGTCAGGTGTCTTAATTCAGTCTAAAGCTTGACTCAAGGGTCATATCAATAGAATTCATTGAACAATATACTTGTTCTCTTTTAAGAGTTTCTGCGTGATGTCCCGTTGCTTCATCTATTTGTGAGCGAAGTAAGATCGCAACCGAAATTCTTCACTTCGATTAGAAAGGTCCATGGTGAAGCAACTAAAATCGTTTGTCACACATAATCCTCACCAAACAATTTTTTCGTCGTGAAACACGTATTTTGATTACTAACTACATACTTTGGGATAATTTTTTGGTTTGTTCTAGTTCTAAACCCCCTTGGGTTGAGTTACCTGAACTCAATATAGCATTCCTACCAACTTTTTAGAACACTTCTGGTTTAGGCCGAGAATAAACCAAAACATCATTTAGACATTAATATTCTTGTTGATTAAAACATTTTAATAATAAGCGTCACTAAAATAGAAATTTCGTCCTCTAAAACTCTTAGGAACAACCAAACTAAGTTATCCGTATCACAACGTGTCGTAGGTAAAACGAAATACTGAGGTATCTGCACCTTATTAGTCTTCTCAGGGAACTACCGTAGTAACAATTTCACCTTCACTATTTTTCTGACGATGGACCAACAACGGGGTCTTTGGGATAGAATCTGGAATCTCAGATTCCCGGATGGTTACTCTTTCCCGTTGCGGAGTAAGCAACTCCGGCTGGTATTTGGTGCGCATCTCTACTTCGTCATGGTCTTGGTCTTGTGGTAGATCGCCTTCTTTGGTAAACTCAGGATGAGCTAGAGGTGTGAAGGATGTCAACAGCGGAGCATCGTTTTTTGGCTTACCATTTTGACCGTTGATCAAAGGAATGTGCTCAGGAATATTTTTAGAAGGCTTTTCGTTGACAGCTTGAATGAGGGGTTTGGTGAGAGGTTTCATTTCTTCACCCAGCTGAGGAATTTGACGTTTGTGCTTGGAGTTCCGGCTGGTCTTGCGCTTTTTAATAAAACATATCAAAAACACAAAGGCTAGGAACACGCCAATACCAACAATAGCGTACACTGCGTTGGAGTTTTGTGGCGCTACAGAAGCCCTCTCCATTTCTTTGGCTTGCGTTCTGTTACTAACAACTTCTACATCCTCGTCTTTAACGGAATTTTTTTCTATCGTTGGCACAGTTTCCTTGAACATCCTAGGCTCTTTAGCGAAGTCTTTTGGATGAGATGTAGTTGAGCTAACTTTGGTGGACTCCTCTCGCTCTTTGAAGGGATTGATGTCTTCCCAGAGCATTCCGAATTGATCCACCACACTTGGAGGAGCAGAAGCAGAGGCTTCGTCGTGTGTTCCTACTGGTCCTGGTGTGCTGCAATTTTCTATGCAGCCTAGAATGCCACTATCAGGAAGCATGATGTACCCACTACCCTCATCACCGCTACCTTCTTCTTCGATCACTGGACCCAAAACATTTTCTGGACCCTGGGTCTTGATGAGTTCTTCTTCTGGTAATCTGTCGTCTATGATGGTGTTATTATCTACTATAACGTCTTCTTCCTCTGGTACAAATGGTACGTTACTGATCGGACTATCTTCAAATATATCAGAAGCCCCGGAGCCTTCATAATCATCGTTGAGCATTACATCTCCAAGTGTGCAATTCACAGTACTGATATCTTTCCCAGAGTATTTTTTCGGAGAATGGCACATCACAGGTTCGGGTATGTTAACTCCACTCTTCAATAGAGTTTCGTACATTATAACATTCATGCAGTCACAGTCGATAGGGTTCTTCTGTAGATGCAAGGTCTTCAAAGACTGTAAGGCTCTAATGTCTTTTGGAACCTCGGTTAAGAGATTGTTAGATAAGTCTAGGTCTTTAATTTGATGCGGCAGTGCTGAAATGTTAACTCTCTTCAAGCTATTCGCACTAAGCTTGAGTTCTTCCAAACTGTTCAGACTAGGTATTGAAGATATCTGAACGTTGTTGTTAGACAGATCCAGATACTTTAAGTGTTTAAAGTATTTGAGCTTAGGATCTATTTTGTTCACTGAAGCATTGGATATGGTGAGCATATAGATTGTTCTGTAGTTTTTCTCAGTAAATTTGTTCAGGAATTCGAAGGATGTTGCGAATAGGTGAGATCCATCTATGTGGCACGAAGAGGAATCTGAACATGGCCCCGATGTTGTGCTTGTTGTTACTTTCGCCAATATGGTCATCACAATGAGTGATTTCCACATCTTCACAGTTCTGAAACAAAAAAATAGCTTCAAAAATATGAAAATTCATATGAGTAGAATTTTGAATAAAATATTTGCACTACTGTGCTGTATACAGGGTGTCATTTAATGATATGCGAATATTTAAGGGTGTGAATCTATATGAAAAATTAATGTTAGTTTGCTTTATAAACTATGGTCCAAAAATGTTTCCTTATAAAGTAAACTCGGGGTGTTTGTAGTTTTAGGAAAAAATAGGAAATTAATTAATATTTTCAGAACCGCTAGAGATATTTCACTGACATTTAGTACGTAGTGAAAGTTAATAAAGTGGCATTTTTAGCTTTAACAGTAGCGTGCGTACGGGTATTGACTTCGATATTTTTTAAGAAAAAAACCAAATAAGAATTATTTTTGAATTCCCAGTTCAATTTAAAACAAACGTTCTATTGTCTAACTTGCAAAATTATTGTTAATTCAATTGGAAAAATTAAACACATTAGGGGTAATGAGCAACAACAACTGATAACATAAACATGACATTAAAACCAACGAAATGATTACAAAAATTGTTGAAAATGGCCCCCTCTACTTAGTATGCATGCTTCCGCCTTCCTTCTGATGGAATTGCGCACTCGTTGAAATATCCCTGGAGTGTTTTTTATTCTATCACAAGCTGCAACTATTCTTTCTCTTAATTACTCTACAGTATTAATGGGACTTGTCTTCGCTAGTCTCTTAAGATAGCCCCACAAAAAGAAATCTAAACTGTTGAGGTCTGGGGACCTTGGTGGCCATTCTTGGGGCCCACCGCGGCCAATCCAACGATTTGGATAAACATTTTGTAAATAATTACGAGCCGCTACACTGAAATGCGCTGGTGCTCCATCATGCATGTACCACATATTGTTTCTTATTACTAAAGGAACATCATCAAGCAACAAAGGCATCTGTTGTTGAAGAAAATTGAGGTGAGTCTGTCCGTAAAGTCGTCCCGGCAAGAAGAATGGGCCAAGAAAGTGGTTGCCAATAATTCCTGCCCATACGTTAACCGAAAATTGGTGTAGGCAAAGAATAGTTTTAGCTAATATTAAGAAAATACGTTTGATTTTGGAACAATCAAGTTTTCTTCCTTTCAGCACATATTGGATGTTTAAAACTCGATTGTCACCATTGATATCTTTCGGTTACGGCATAGAGATTTTCTTCTGCCCACAAATGATTATTGTGGAAATTCTGAATGGCATTTCGAGAAAAATTAGCTTCGTCCGTGAACGGAATCATTGATTCAAATTGAGCATTTTGTGTAATTTTTTGAAGATACCACTGACAAAAGGTTACACGCCTTGGAATATCAATGGGAAGTAATGCCTGTTCTCTTAAAATATTGTAAGGATATAATAATAAATCCACTAACATTCTCCAAACAATTTGATGGCAAATATTTAAGTGTCTAGCGATCTTCCTCGTACACGTTTCAGGATGTTCTTCGACTTCGTGCAGCACTGCTTCCCTAATTTCAGGCATTCTCACACTTAGAGGTCTATCTTCAGATGGTCCTTTTCGGACAGAACCAGTTTCGACAAGACGACGATCAATATTAGAAAAGGTTCCACTATCTGGCAAAGCACGATCGGGATATCTCTGGTGATAATCCGTTTGGCTTGCTCACCATTACCGTCGGCAAGGCCATAAACGTAATGCATTTCCACCATTTCTGCATTTGAATAATTCACCATTATTAACAAGATTGTAAAAACAAAATAATAAAAAAGTGACATATTCAAGAGCAACTAGATATTTATTGCTAAATTGCATTTTTCAATTATTACATTAATTTTCTCGGACAATAGACCGGTTTCTATTTTTTTACCCAAAAGTGGCGCATCGAAGGAAAGCAACTCAAGAGAGATCATGTGTTTTAAATTGAACGAGGAATTTAAAAATAATTTTTATTTGGCAAAAAACCATTGACGTACCATTTTTTTCTTAAAAAAATATCGAAGTCAATACCCGTACGCACGCCACTGTTAAAGCTAAAAATTATTTTTGCATTGAAAAAGATGGTCCTTTATTAATTTTCACTACGTACTAAATGTCAGTGAAATATCTGAAGCGGTTCTGAAAATATTAATTAATTTCCATTTTTTTCCTAAAACCTCAAAACCCCGAGTTTTTGTAAGGAAACATTTTTGGACCATAGTTTATAGAGCAAACTAACATTAATTTTTCATGTAGATTCACACCCTTAAATATTCGCATATCATTAAGGAATACCATATATAAGTGTAGAAGTACCGTTTTTGAAAGGACTATGATACTAGTCAAATTCAAAAAATGAGAGAAGATATCTTTAGCTGATTAAGGGGCTAAATATAACATTTCCCTTATCAACTATTAGAATACAATCAAAATACAGCGAAATAATTCATGTTATTTTGGTATCAACTTTTTCAAGGGTACGAAAGCCTAATTAGTCGTAAGATACTTATTCTCATAAATTATAATCATGAACTCATTTCAAACAGTAATTTCAAGATTGATGATAGCATATGTGCAATTCACAATTTGATTTTCGATTTTTTACTTATAAACGATATACAGGGCGTTACAGAATGTTTGTTTAGCGAAAAATTGTACTTGACGGGTTTTGCAAAAATGAGTGTAGTTTTCTCTAACCAAAGCCATTTCGGTTCTACCTCTTGGAGTTTTTCGAAATGTTCGTTCCTGTTCCATTACGAACATAAGTTGAGTACAGCTTAATGAAGTCATTTACTACAGCTACAGTTTTTAATTAGTATCAATTTGGCTCTATGATGGTGAAACTATTTTTTGCAGAAACCACTGCAATACTATTTTCAGTTAAACTATTACCAGCTCATAGCCGCTGACGTAGATGGTTTAGAAAACAATTTAATGTGGCCTTTGATAATACATTTGCGTGAACTTAAATTCATCTTAATATTTTACTCGGTTTTCTGACTATCAAAGGAGGAAGAGTTTAAACACCTATGGAAACGAATATTTCCGGACACATTCTGTATCGTAACAATAACAGTACGGATATCAGTAGGATTTTCAAAATTCAAGAACATCGCAATACTTAATGGTTTCACAATAATAATGCGATGTTCTGGTAGCGTTTTCTTATGGTGAAAGTAATGTTGCACTGGTGCGTATTTTCTTTTTTAAAACCAGTTTATGCAGGGTGGTTTCAAACTTGAGTCATTTATTTTTACAGCTTGTAGAACTCGTCAATTTGAGTTGATATACCAAAAATTACCTATACAGAGTCCTCTATGTAACATTTGTTCGTCAAGGGCTTCATACCGAGTGTTGAAGTTTGAAAATAAAAAACAATTTTTCAATATCTTCAAAACCGTCAACTGGAATGAACTAAAATTTGTTATGTGGATTTACCTGAGTATTGTCCACATTCAAAAGTATTTACTTACAATGGATTAGTTGCATTATTTTTCCAAATATGTTTCATTGACAGACGACAGCATGAGAGAAAACGTTTTGTCTTTTTTTGGGAGGCAAATTTAGGCTAAACTAGGGCAGAGTGTTTCAAGCAGGGACACTGCATCAGTTTTTGTCAGAAGAAAATGGTATATAATGTGGAGTACCCTTTGTGTTTATCAAGCACTTAGCTTTGAATGCATAGATTAGAAAATAAGAAAGCAGTAAGACCAAATTATCCATATACATAATTGCCGGTGCCTAAAAATATCCCATCTCAGTCTCTGATATCAAAAAGCAAATATTTTTGTCAGATAAAAAGATTACTCATGTGGCAGACAAATATCTAGATCTGGAACAAGCACAAATTGGAGGTTGTCGTTGAATACGCGTCACTTAAAAAAAGCGGTCTCCATGAACGGAATAAGAAGACAACTTGACAGACGGTTTCAAATAAAGTAGAATTCTACATAGTGGTTCAACTAGACCCACTATAGGTTACAAGTTTTGAGCAGCGTCATATAATGTATGTCCTGAAAGTTTTGGCACAAAATTCATTGGCTTTAATTTTAACAAACACAAAATAATATCAAGTTGCCTTTGGAAGCAAAAGTCTGTTTACTTATCGTACTGTCAGTTGAAATTTATTTATTTCGAAGTTTTCGGTTTAAGAAGTCGTATAAATTAGAAATAAGAAAAACAGGTAGATTGTGGATAAGTTAGGATCAATGAAGCTTGGTCATCTGAACGTGCGATCTCTCATGTCCGACTTTGCTGCAATTATTGACCTGATTCAGACTGAGCGGTTCGATATTTTCGCTGTAAGTGAAACATTACCAATGATGCGGTGAGTATCAATAATTACAATCTGTTCCGTAGTGACAGGGGATCCCGCGGTGGCGGAGTAGGACTCTACATATCCACTCACCTTCAGGTTGAAATTATTAACTTTGGTAATAGGTTTGGAAATTGCTTGGAACAACTGTCAGCATAAAAATAAATAGATACATTTTGCTTTTGGGCGTGTTGTATAGACCACCCTCACAAAACCTCAATGATTGCATCAGCGCTCTAGATATCATGATACCGTTAATGTCAAACAATTTTGATAATTATTGTAGGAGATCTGAATGTTGATATTTTGAGCGGCAACAACGTCCTTTCTCCATGCTTTCAAATGGTGGGTTTTTCTCAAATTGTCAGTGTTCCTACTACAGTGACAAGGAACACGACATCCTTATTAGATCCAGTTTTTACTAATAAACCAGACATTATTTCCGACTGTTTGGTTCTCGATTCTAACGGCATATCTAACCACAAAATGGTATCGTGCACTCTCTCCATACCTGATTTGAAAAATAAACAAAGGTTTGTAACTGTAAGGAACTTCAAATGCTTCAACGAGGAATATTTTCTAAGTGACTTAGCTTCTGCAAATTTAGACGACTTATTTTTTATGAACCATATAGATGCTAAAGTTGAGTTCCTAACAAATACACTGATAAGAGTTTATCATAAACATGCTCCTGTAACTACTTTCAGAGTAAAGAAACCACCTGCTCCATGGCT